TGAGCAAACATTTCCCGGGAAAATTTCGATGTCACATTGAGAGGAACGTCGAATAATACAGGTACATTATTTTTTTTTTTTAAAAAAACGTCGGGAAATTCGTTAAAAAAATATTTTTTATTTTCTCTAAACGAAAAGAAATTTCCTGAAACGTGTAAATCCGTAGTCGAAAAAAAACTTGGTTTAGTCGAAATATTGGTGGAAAACCCCTTAAATTTCAAATTTTCCTATACTATTCGGTAGCGAGATTTTAAAAATACATTTATCTTGAATTTTTTATAAATTTATGAAAATTTTACGGTTTTTTTGATTTCCCCCTCCCTCTGTCTCGTAGATCCGAATAATTTTTCTTAAGGTCTTTTTACTCTATCTCTTATATTAAGCAAAGTTTTTCCCGGAAAAGCGTTCGACCCAAAATGTCCCATAATTTATCTGGGAAATGTGTGAGGTATCTGGAAAATCACTTTCCCGAATGAAAATTTAAAATGTGACATGATTCGACAGAGAAAGGGTTAATTTTTCTATAGTAGTGAAATTCGATGAGATAGTTTAGGCTCGTAGAGCGAACCCATTAATTTTCGTAACAGATGGACGGATTTTTATGTTTATAAAAAATGTATTAAATTCACATAATACTACTAATATTCAGTTTTAGGCGAAGCACCACCTTTAAATAGAAATATTTGTTTTTGAGAAAGTGGGGTCAATTTTTTAGAAATAAGACAAAATAGAAATAATGTATTTTATTTTTTCTAAATGACAAGCTTCGCTTTATTCTTTGTTACAAAAGTTTTTTCATTGAAATAGTACGCAAAACATTTTACAAAATATACAATCTTTACTTAATACTTTCAAAATATAATGAAAACTTCATCGGTTGCTATAGGCACAGAAAAAGGCACTGCAAATAAGTTGTTTTGAAAAGTATGCATGCATACAGCAATTAAATTATTTGTTTATTATGGCAACCATGAAATGAAGTTTTGCTACCGATTGCTTCCAAAAGAAATTTAATGTGTCTATTTTGATAAAAAATATTTTTTAAAATTAACTTAGCTGCTACATGGTCGAAAGTAATTCATTTTCAAATATTTCAACCTTTAATAAATTTTGAGACATTTCTTAATTTTTATACTTTTGAAAACAATCGCAATTCCTAATATATATAAAGTATATACATTATTTACAAAACATATAAAAACACAAAACTTTAACACAAAGTTAATTAATTACTTATGGTCTGATTTAATTGATCTATAGAATAAGAAACATCAATAAATTATGAGTTGCAACATTTACAGAAACGAATTACGCTAAAATAATATGCTATATAGTATAAAATCAGGAACAAAAATACAATAAATACAATAAAAAAAAAAACAAATCAATATTTACATATTTATTCTGATACACAGAATTTATTGTTTCATATAAAAATAATTTGAAAACTTCTAACAGGTCACATGGAATGAGACAAATCAATTTAAAAAATGCAATGTACTATACTCCCCACTTTGATTTTTTAAATCAAAGGACCATATGTTCAAAAAATAGTATTTTTTGAGTTCGGGAAAGATCCTGATGATTGAACACACATGAAGGTAGTTTTTTTAAAACACATAAAGGTAGTTATTTTTAAAAAAATTAGGAAAAATTTGATTGGCACCAAATTTATTTTATAACAATAGTCGTACATTTAATAAAATATACGGTTATTCCCAAGTTAAATATTACTTTTAATGAATGAATCAGAGTATAAATAATAGACCAGTGATAAAAGATAATTAATTCACATGAATTACAAAACTTTTCAAACTTTGTTGAGGTTCAGAACATATTGATAATTTTGCAAAAAATATATATTGTATTATTTTCAACATTATATCTGATTTGCAACTTTTTGAAGGTCCGGAACTTGATTTTTTTTTTGTAAAATAGCGTTTTTGTTTATATCATAAATAAAAAATTGCAAAAGTGGTGCAAACTGATAACATAACTGATACAAGGTTTTGGAACAGCTATTCCAATTTGCAGTCTTTTATTTTGCTCGGAAATATATATTTTTTAAATAGCAAAATAATTGTTTATTTTCTTCTAATTTTATCAAAAAAAAAAAAAAAATGCAAAAGTTTTGAAAATTGGTTGCGATTGTTAATATTAATTTTCTTAACAATCTGATACATTTGAAACCTCGGACATGGTCCGGAATCTTGAAAAATAATAAAAATCAAGTTGCAAAAAAAATTGAAAAGCATTGCAAATAACTTCTTATAAGTAAATGTAAATTTGCAATGCTCCAAGATTAGCGCAAATTAAAACAAAAGTGTTGCAAATCTAAGGAAACAACTAAAAAATATATTGACAAGTAATATTGAATTTTCAACCTTCTACATATCATGCAGATATTTAAATAATTTCCTGTTACGGCTTTACAGAGAAAACCATGGCGATTTAATTTTATTTTATTTCTGAAAATCTTTATATATAGAAACTAAAAGAAAAATGTACAATACAAAAGATGTATTCGGGGTATTAAAAGTGCGGATATGTAAAAGTTTGTCGGTGAGGGTATTAATAATAAATATTTGTCTCATTCCATGTTAATAAAACAAATTCAAAATATTAAATAATATCACACATTTTTCAAAATAATTATTTGTGTCACCAAGTTTCATTCATCACGAGATCAATTTCTCCACATATCACTTTTGTTCTTTACTTTAAAAATTATATTATATATTTTACAGTCTATAATGTTTTTAGGGTTCCACAACTCATCATAGTATATTTATATAAGTACCCAACAGTTGCTTGTCTAATATATTATTATAATCTCTATATAATATTAATTTATCAATTTAACAGAAAATATTTAATAACTCTGTTAAAGATAAATCATTTAAGTAAATCATTTATTTGAGTATTTCTGTATTTTCAACCATTGTTAGACAATTAACTGTAAGTTACATTTTTGATAAAAATCTTCTTAAAAACTATAATTGCACAATGGAATGAGAACATTTTTTAGTCTAATTGATAGACACTTACCAACTTCGGTATATGAAGGACATTTAAAAAAATATTTATCTTTGTTTGGTATAATAATTCCAGTTCATTTTGCTAAAAATATATGCAGGATGTTTCTGAGTTAAATGTACATATGTTAACCGTAACTGAAATTACTTACTATTAAATGTATTTCACCTGAATTTTTATTCAGTCAAAACGATATAAAAATTTCTAATTTGGCATATTTTCCTCGATATAGCAAACATAATGCCCTAAAAATCAATTAAAATCCAGCTCCATTTTTTACGCCTCAAAACCAACTTTGCGCATCCCAATGTTTAACAAAAGAATTAGGGCTTCTAAAACGAAATATGCAAATTCAAAATACTCCAATCTAAATCAACTTTTTCCATTCTTTGGTAATATCTGAATTGTTATTCAGTGTTGTTTTTGAGGCTGAAAAAAATTGTTAAATTTTGTTAATCCAGCCGGGATTTTGCTTAGAGTTTCTATGGCACTATTTTTGAGCAGTCGAGGAAAACCGATATGCCAAATAAACATTCAAACAAAAGCCATAAGTTGTTACAAATCTTACTCCGAAAATGTTATTCCGCCCTGTACATGCAACATATTCTGAATACGCTTCTTATTTTCAACTTGAATTACTAAATATTCCATTCTTTTTCGACATGGCAGGACACTTGAGGCGTAATTGTAGAAAATTTGGCAAATTTGAAGAAGTAGAGGACCCAATTGCGATAAATATTTACAAAGACTTCCCGTGAGCAAAACGAACTCATTAAGGCTTCAGTTGTGGACAAAACCTTGCTTCTCACTTGTCATAAACAGTTAGAAGATCAAACCTGTAGGTTATTTGCCACAGATGAGAAAATATCAGCTTGTGGAGAAAATCCACTTAGACTCAGAAATAGACGATGAAGATAAGTTTCAGCACCTGATTAAAGGGATGAAGGAAGGCCTATCTGTAACAGAATTAATAAATAGTTTTCCTCCATCCACAGAAAATTATACAAAGGCGATTGAATAACTTTGAACCAGGTTTGACAGGGATGCATTCATAATGTATGTACGTAAGTGAGTTGTTACATAATGATTTTATAACATACAGATGATGGTACAGGTATGGTAGAGATATAAATACAGAACACATTCCAAGTCTTGGACTATCAAAGTAGTAGATATAGTTCTTGTTGAAATAGATAACAAGAATATATTGGTATTTAAGAAAAATTATGGACATTCATATAGGAAAAGATGGCATCCCCAAAGTTAAGCTCTTTGATCAAAAGGTCACGAGACCATTATAGCCGATTTATCCATTGGAAATATTCATCACAAAAGGAAAACAAGAAGATAATGTGGAAGAACAGAAAATTGAAAAAGAAACGAAAAAGTACGAGCAGGATAATAAATATTCTGAAAATTTTCCAATTTTAGTTTAGTTTGTAATTCTTCTCGTTATTTTTTGCTGAATATAAACATTTGCAAAATAGAAATAATGTTATAAATTTAACTTCAAAAAGGTTATTTCGCCTTTTACATATATATGGTGTTGTTATAGTAACAAAATATGGGTTTAATTTTGAATGTATAGAATAAATATTTTCTGAATATGCTTCCCATTTTCAACTTGTATTACAACATTTTTCTACAAAGGTCCCACACTTACATTTAATGCGTATACATTTCACTTTAAAACACCCTGTATATCTTCACTATTTACACAATGCAAATCATAAAAATTATTAATACATTAACAAAAATAATTTATGACCAAATACCCAAGAATTTTTATTTGGAATGTAAAACGGTCAGGATAATAAAAGAAGAAATATGCATGTACTAATTATTAGTACTAAAATAATTGTTTTGAATACCGTATGATTGAGCTATTTTGGCACTGATGCAGTTTGGGACCCTAGTGGCAAATTATAAAAACAATTTAAAATACACTAAGCCTACACTAGCCCTCATACAAGTACCGTTAATACATCTACACTGCTGTTTTGTTGCTGCTGCTGTTGTTGCTGCTGTTGTTGCTGCTGTTGCATAGTCCTTTGTTTATTAACATTTATAATACTTTTACTAAAGTCCTTATGTCCCGAAGAATCATCAAAGGCCGCTGTGTTTTTCCGGACATCTGGATTTTGGGCTTTGTACAACATAATTTGGCTACTGCGATGAGCACTATTTAAGCCATCACTCACACTTTCGTGTAATTTAAGCGCGCTGTCAGATGCACTTGTGCCGGGCAGAACCAACACTGTTCTCCTAGAACCCGGACAGTCTACCTCTGATATCATCTCCAACATTTCACTGGAGCTATCATGAGTAATCATACTCGACATTGGTCTTACAACACTAACCCTCGGCATGTCCAAGGAATTGATACTCCCTAAGCTACCCATATCGTCTTTTAATGGGTTGGCATACCTGTAAAAAAAAACCAATAAACTGGTTATGAAAAAATGATAGAAAATCCTTGAAAAATACATTTAAAAAGGTACTTTCACAGAAAAATATAAGTTACAATGTATACTTTGAGAAATAAAATATATTATAAAACATTACCTCCTTAAATTTTCTTCATTTTGCAAGTTATTCGACTTTTCGTCTTCGTGATTTCTTTGGCAAGGTTCGTTCGATGTAGACAAATTAACTCCGCTGAGACCAATGTTTCTCCTGTGCTGCCTCAAATATAAGACGACTGCGAATCCTGCTGCACAAAGTCCGATTAATACGAAACAAATCAACGCTATTAAATACGTGTTTGTTTGCTGTTCGCCTGAAACCTGAGCAGTTTCGACTTTGACTTCCACTATTGACGTTAGAGCTAATAGACTGGTGTGCTTGCGTGAAATAGCCTCGCCCATTACTCTTATTCCGTCTAGAACCCAACGGTTGCCAGTCTGAAACATTTAATTTTTATATATTAATGAAATTAGTACACTCGCTGTTTGTTCTGATGTGCCAGGGGTGAAAATAACCCTCCCAAGTCAGAGTTGTCATCGTCTATAGGTACAATTAGGCGATTAGTTAGTTATGTTTAACAAGTATTAAAAGTAATTTTAAAAAACCGACTTCAAAATCGTGCAGATGCCATCACCACATCTTGAACAAATTTATATGGGACCACCCTTGAGGTAACCCTTTACTTACAAAAAAAAATCAGACAAGGTAGTAGAATTATCGATAAACATACATAAAAAATGAAGAGTTTGAGGATTTTCTCATGGACTCAATTATTAGATTTTGACCAAATTTATATGGGACCACCCCTGAAGTACCCCCTTTCTAACAAAAATAGAAACATTGAAATCGGACACCATGTTAAAGAGTTATCACTGAACATACATAAAAAATGAAGAGTTTGAGGATTTTCTCATGGACCAAATTATTAGATTTTAACCAAGTTTATATGGGACCACCCCTGAAGTACCCCCTTACTATCATTGAAATCGGACACCGTGTTAAAGAATTATCGCTGAACATACATACAAAAAAAAATATTATGACGAATTGAGAACCTTCAATAACTGTTGATGACACGCTACTGGATGATTTGTACAGGATATTATTAAAATACATGTAGATATTAAAAGAGATTAATATTTTTAAAGTATCCTAGACTTTGCAAAAATACGGCACTGCAGTTAGTATAGATAGATCATCTACAAAATTTAGGTCAACTAAGGTCATCGACCACGAATACCTGAGTCATAGAGTTTCGTCAGCAATTTTAATCTTGATATTCTTAGTTGGAAACTACCCAATAACATATCTTTAGGTATAAGAAGTAGTGCCTAAAAACCTTTTATTAATTTTAAGTGCACATACAATCATTTTAACAAAAAATAAATAAAACACGTTTGTAGAATCTCACAAAACGAAACAAAAGAACCACTTTAAAATAAAATATAAAAATAAACCCATGCTCAAGAATTAATAGGGATTGCACAATACATGTGCACAATACTTCGAAATCTTCGTAATTATTAGTTCACTAGAATTATTCTGGAAAATCTTTTTTCTATTGTACCTATAACTTACTTTAAATTAAACTAAGGAGATGTTAAAAAGGAAAACAAAAAGAACATTAATGGCTGAAAAGAAAAACTTTCTATTTCAGGCAAAAAATTTCATTAAAACATGCAAAGCTTTTTTGGCATCAAGCCATTTTCAGTGCTTATTCACAATATGTAAATAAAATAAATATAAAAGATAATACAAAAAAATGTGTTAAAATGATAAATTATAAAACATTTTAAAAATTAAATAAGAAATTGAGCAAAAGTAATTCAATAATATCGGTTGTTATCGTTCTCAATATTTTTCCAATAATAAAGATAATTAAATAAATGAAACTATTTCCAAATCACATACAAATCTGCAAATAATCTATAAAATCATGCATAACACAATGAAACATGTACGGTCCGTTGCTGACGTCACACAGCGAAATGTACATGTTAAATGGGATTGGTCAATCCTGATACGGTTTCTGCGTATAGTATTTTGATCAGTCACAAAGCACATAGAGGTTCCACATTTCTTATGTTATTGACTCCAAACCCTAGATAAGGCTACTGGTGAAATTATGATTTCTTACTTCATTTTTAATTTTGATAGGTAAAAATCTTAACCAAAGAATCCAAAATAAAAGGTCTATGAATTCAAAGATGTAACGTGTAATTATCTTTTTGAATATTCTCATTTTTCCGTCTGATTTTAGTGATTTTTTTGTTGGCTTTGGTTACTTGCAAAATTGTGATGTTCTGTTTTTCTATTTCCTTCTGTGTTTTGCAATAATTTTTGTGCTACGTTGAAAACTTCGAGAAAAACTGCATTGATTTACCATGCATCATAAAAAGACAAACGCGTACAACTAATTGATAATCAATTTTTCCTACGACCACTTAGGAAAGTGACACATATCACACTATATAGTCCTATGGAAAGTACCCTATATCACACGCGTATGAATAAGAATTTACTTTCCACCCGAGTGAGAATATGTTACTTTCCGCAGTAGTTGTCACAAAATGTCAAACACCTAATTTCTATTTGAATCTATGTAATGTCCATGTTAATACTAAAATCGATATGATTGTTAAATTATTGAAATTGTTATAAATTAGATCCTAGATATTTATCTTTAACAATTATTATTAAAATAATTTTAAAATAATGTTTGCTCTTTATTCTAGTTAAATACATAACCGATTAGATCATTCAATTGACACAAGGGCTATTAGCTCAGGTGGTTAGGACGTCGAACTTATCAACTTTGCCATTTTTCGACCGCGTTCAAATCCTCGCGGGGCAGAATTTTTTTTTTTGTTTTTTTTTTTATTTTTTTTGTTTTTTTTTTATTTTTTTTATTTTTTTTTAATTTTTTTTTTAGTTTTTTTTTGTTTAGAAAATATGAAAATTGAATAAATACGATTATTGTTGATTATTTTTTTAAATACTTTTTAATTATTATAGTAATAATAACCTTGGTTTTACATTTTTTTAATGACATTATTTTGTGGTCGTAGGAAAAATATTGTACATCACTTGTGTGAAAAGTGATTTTCCACACTCGTGTGATAGTCGCACTCGGCTTGCGTCTCGTGCGACAATATTTCTCACTCGTGTGAAAAATGTCACTTTCCACACTCGTAATGTAATATACTATATCACTAGATTAGATTCCAAAATTATTTTTAACATAAGAGTATACCATCTCTATTTGGAAGGAAAATATTTATCAGTGAATGAATAGTTTAAAGGATTCACCTTTAAATCCAATACCTATATTACATTTATCCTCCTAAAATGTAATATCCTAGTCTCTACTTTACATTTAAACACCTATATTGATATTTTAAAGATTTGAGATTGTATACCTATTTGCTCCAAGTAAGATTCGTTAAATATGTATTATTATTATTTGTATTTATTTTGTTCTAATAATATTTAATTAAGTTATTATTAAACATATTTTAAGAATTTTTCTATTTATTATTTATTGATATATCTTATATTTATTTAATAATAATATGCAAAACCAACTCTAAATTAGACCCATAATAACAAATTAATTCCCTAAATTTGGCATACCTATCGATCTAAATTATTTTGTAAAATAAAATTTTCGAACTTACTAGTTCCATACTTTATTTTATAAAATAATTTATGTGGAAATAATTTAAAATTTAATTTAGAACTACTACCTACTACTAAAAATTACAATTTGAATTTACCGCTCCAAACACAAGGTGGCCCTGATTTGATTTAAAAGTCTAGCTTTGTGCTGTCAGTAGTTCAAATTTCAAATATTTAAGATTAGAAGAATTAGACATTAGACGATTAGACTTGCTCGTTCTTGATTTTTGCGTCTTGCATTTACAAATTTACATTCTACTTTCGTTTCAATGTTGTTGCCGTTGATGCTAAATGTTGGTATGTATTTTTTGTTGACATTTTAAATTAGAATATAAAAACACAAAGTAAATACCATATACCTGTGCTTAGATGACAAAATCATATTATGTCCATTTTTGGTCATTTTAAGATAGGTATACCCACCATCTTGCACTTACATGCGTTGATAAAATGATATAATGCGAATGTATGGATACCTATACTGTGCGTATTTACAACTGACATATTTTCAGTATTTGGAAGTGAACAAAATTATATATCGAATGTTTAGAGTCAAAACCCGATAAGTCAGCAAAAAGGGAAAAATTACTTTCCTATAGGTAGAGGTAGGTATATATCATCGATCACATTTTTTACTGCTCTTTCTACTAAAGTAATCCGTTGCGCGAAATTCCGTATCTATATATTGTTAACCCTGGTATTCCGAAAAACCGATATACAGGGTGACCACTAATTAATGGTACACAGCAAAACTGTAAATTTTTTGTGTAAAAATATTGCGATTTAACCAAAAGTTGATAATAACCGAAAAGGTGTAATTTTCATTTCGTTTTCTTAATATTTCATCAACAGGGCGACATACCGGCACGAAATCTTGAATTTAAGAGTTTTTTTAGGCGATAAATTCAAATCCGTTTTTAATTCGGATACCACTTGTAGAGGAAGTCACTTATGGAACTTGAAATCTCTTTAAAATGAACTTTTTTGTGTCACGGTGTAATGGTAATGTTGTAGTTGAAGGGTCTGTGGCTAGTTCTGTCAGTTGTAATCGTTACATAGTTGCCAGGTTATATTTAATTATTTGGAACCAGAGAATAATCAGATTGAAATAACTATTTTACTTTTAATCATCTATTTACAAATTTTTACATTGATTAAAAATCCCATAAAAAAATTTCTAAAGATTTTCAAGTAATACGATCGTTATTTTTAATGTCAATAATACGAGGGGCATTCAATAAGTAAAGAGACAAATGGCTATAGCTCAAAACCGGTTTATTTCAATATATCAAAATTAAGGGTATTTTTTAACATAATCACGCTACAGGGTGCTGCGTAACAATACTATTACATTATTTTAATAAATGATCCATGTACTATTTAAATGTTTATTAACATTTACATAAAAACGATATAGAGGGTGATATTTTAGATAAGAAAAGCACCATGAAAACATGGAGACCGGTCCTTATGTTTTTCAAAATAAAACATGGCTTTGATATATCTAACTTTACTACAACATTTTATCCAAAAAACTGTAATCGTTCAAAAAAATGGCCGCTATAATTTTGGTGGAAAATCATAAAACACGCCTATATCTTGGATAAGTCTGCTCTACCTCCCATTAAACTATCTCTGTTTAAATCTAGGACACCCTATATAACTATATCAATTGTTTACTTTTTTTAGGTCTGATGATGCCCCTTAGGCCGAAACCGGTTGTCGTTTAAATTTAATTAATAAATTGTATGTGGTATTGATTTTGTGCTTTTAGTTCATTATTTTAAATAAGTGTATTTTTACAATGCAATTTACAAACATTGAACTGACTAATATGGTTTTAGAGCATGAAGCTGCTGGTGAAAATGATCGGCAAGCACAGATTATTTCAGGCTTCCTATCGTTTGGTAGCAACTGAACATAATTGGACAGTTAACCGAGAAAATAAACAATTTGGCCGCGAAATTCCGACAATTTATAAAGCAGTAGCATGTAGCCTTTTAGAACAATGATTGTGTAGTGTTTCGGTCTTAAAGACATTGTTTCATTTTCGTTAAAAATGAATTAAAATAGACAAACGTCATTTTCGTGATTTTGTCGTAATGGATGCCGATTTGATTTTTTAAGAAGTTACAATGTTGGGTGAGTATGATTTAATTAAAAAATATATCTTATACATTTTGTAACGAACCAGCAATATCACAAATGTATCTATAAGGTTCGTTTAACAAACGAGTGTAGAATAATGGTCGAAAAAGAGAAAAATAATGCTAAAGTTGATGCCATTCGTTTTGCCACTAGTTGAATTAACTGATAATAATTTCTGTTTGTAAAATCCAAAAATTTTCTTTGCCCGGGCCTCTATGAGGGCCCAAAAACGTAAAAAAATTGATACCCACACCAGAACCAGTTCACAATACCAAAAACCGACACCGCTAATTAATAATAAAAAGTAATATAGAAAAGAATAAATCGTAAGAAAAGACAACCCAATTGTACCCAAGGCAAGCTAAAAAAATAATATTAAACATAAACTCATAACTGATAAAAAAAAAAACAAATTTCTTGTAGGTAATATTAAAACTTAATCTAAAAAAGAAAATTAAAACAGATGTAAAATTAACAAACTAAAAAACAAAATTAACAATGTAGGAATTGAACATGTAAAAAACTGGTTAGACGTTTTTAAATTATCCTTAAATATCAAAGAAACCAACTATATAGCAATTTGTAAAACATTACTTGATCGCCCTCATTTTAAAGAAATAGTTACCGGTAATTTGGACTCCAAAATACAAGAAACAGAAACTTCTAAATACTTGGGTATAATTATAGACCAACATCTAAAATGATAAAATCATATACCAAAAAAGCTTAGATTTATAATCTATAAATTTTATCTTTTAAAACAATTTCTTAACCAAAATCTCTTGATAAGCCTATATTTTAGCTTGGTAGAATCTATTATACGTTATAGCATACTAGTATAGGGAGGCCTAGACCACTAAATGTCATACAAAATAAAATACTGAAAATTATTTTCAACAAACAGCGAATATATCATACTACTACTTTACTATATAATGAAACAATATCTAATGTTAGAAGTTTATACATGAACACAATATGTTGTTACATACAAAATCATGAGGTACTAAAAAAAACATCTGGGCCAGCAACACAAAACCAGAACCTTTAGTAACTTGAATATTAAAATATCTATGCCTAATAGTGAATCTTTTTTTAAGAATTGTATAAATTACTTAGGACTAAAGTGTTACAATGCTTTACCTTTTGAGATCAAATTAATTAACAAACAACATTCATTTAAGAAAGCGTGCAAATCCTTCATCTTCCAAAACTACTCAAAATTGTATAGATTCTTCTTAGAATAACACATATTTCACTGTAATATGTTGAAACCCTGTAGATTATAAGATTATTACAAGAATATAAGATTATTACATTATTATAACATTATTACATATTATTTATAATATTACTACATTATTACATTTAACATTTATTAAAAAATACATTAACTTTATGTTTTAGTTTTCATTTCAGTCTTTGTCTAGATACAGGTGTCCGTACCTAGGTGCTAACTTATTTACCTGTGATTAATTTATATTTATTTGTTTATTGTTGTAATGAATCCTGTTATTATTGTAATAATAATAATAATCTACAGAAACTTTATATGAGCTATACTTACTTAAGTAAAATATGATTTTTTTTAAATTTTTTGAAGGAAAAAAAAATAAATGTCAATTAAATAAATACCATACTGAAGATGGCACTGATCAGTGCCGAAAGCTCTAAACCAAAAACACATGATTTTCATTTAAATTACAACCATCCGAATACAATTTACAGGCATCTAAAAACCCAAGAACCCAGCAAAAAAATAATAAGTAGTTTTATCATGTATGGAAGACAGTTGTACTTCTACATAGGCCACGTCTTTCATGTTTGAAAGACACCAAACAAATCAAATAACAGAAAAAAGTAAAACACCAAAAAAGCTAAGAATAATACAATTAATGTAAAATAATAATAGTTTGGCACCCAGCGTTAATTCTTTGATAACACCTTAGCACGCAGTAAGTTAAATGTATTTAATTTACTTACCAGCGTAACTTCTATAGTATCATTATAACTATTCTTCAAGTCGCAGAGTAAAAACAACGTATCTTGTAGTCCTTCCATGGCCTGTTTGTTCGCTAATAATCTTCGTAAGTCTCGACATAACCCCTCCACAGTAGTGCCTTCTGGTAATTTAGGTCTATCTAGTAGCAATGTCAACCTGGCACATGTATTGCTCAGTATGGCTTGATTAGGCCAACATGTGCTAGGTATAGGCACAGAGGGTGGTTTGACGCTGCGTCCGCTTTCCAGTTCCCTACAATCTCCGTATGGTAAGCAAGGGGGAGACAGACAAGAGTCTGAAGAGGACGGTACACAAACTTGACTGAGGTTACAAACATTTTGTTGATTAAAATCTCTGCAGTTTTCAAGACCACACCAAACTTTAGTACATTTAATAACTCCGTTTGTACAAAGGCAGGTATTACATTCATGTTGCCATGTAACGTTGTTTTCCAGAGTGTGAGTATTCCATGGACAACTGCCCGGTGTTGGAAGATACGCTAAATCGTTTACTATAAAAAGTTATTATGTTAGTATATTTTATTTAATTTTATAAGGTTATACTCACTAGAACATCTTTTTCCTGTTTTACCGGGAGGGCATATACATTTGAAATCTCCAATGTCATCAATGCAAGTTCCTCCATATCCGCATGGACTTGAAGCACACTCGTTTACATTTATTCTACAATCGGGACCGGTAAATCCTGGAGCACATTCGCAAAGAAACCAATTGACACCGTCAATACATTTTCCACCATTGTAGCAGGGTTGAGGACTACAGTCATTAACATCGTCTTGACAGTGATTTCCTTCAAAACCATCTCTACATATGCATTGGTAGTAATATTCAGTGTTAACGCAAGTACCACCGTTTAGGCAAGGATTAGAACGACAAGCAGTTTGTTTAACTATGTGACAGGTTGTTCCTAAAAATGTCAAAAGAAAAGTTGAGGTGGTTACAATAAATATGGAGAAAGTTGGTATCGATTTGATAAAAGCAGACCACAGAATTAAATACTAACCTTCCCAATCAAGGGGACATCTACAACTAAAGGTATCTCCTAAATCTTGACAAGTACCTCCATTTTTACAAGTTGCGTGATCACAATGGCTGTCTTTCAATGAACAAGTTTTTCCTTTCCATCCATCTTTACACTCGCATTCGAAATCGGCAATACCGTCAATACAAGAACCATTATTTCGACAAGGGTTTTGAGAACAATCGTCGGTATCTGAAATTATAATAATAATAATAATATAATAATACTCTCCCTAATTCACCCTATTACGAGTGAATTTTAACCACAAAAGCTGAGCTTGTGCGGGAAAAGGGACGGAAATAATTATCATTTGCCGTGGCGCTCCGGGGCGACTTAAAGATGATTGATGGTGCCATTTGACTTACAGGTGAGGAAAACCTCACCCACCATCATCGAGACGGTAATGCATGTCATATCAACAGCAATTGAATTTCTATTAATACGGTACACATCAAATCCTATAGCGAACCATGCAATTTAATTAAAAATCTACATGGTCCGCTACATCATTGTCCCGATTTGATGACATATAAGTCAAAAAGGTCTAATTTCAAGAAGAAATGATAACGTATGTCCCAAAAAGATTGGTAAGAGAGCAAAAGACAGTTAGGGCTTTCGTAAGAAAATTGGCGCATAAATTTCGTATTTAAAAGAGTACAGTATCGCGGGAATTAGCAAGAAATCATTAAAAATTTTTAAAAAGGAGAAAGTGTCCTAAATGTACCACAAATCAGTTAACACGGATACTAATAGTCCCTCATCTGACTGGAAAAAGTGGCACGTCGTGATTTTTGCTTGCTATTTGTAGTTGGGTACAGGGAAGGGAGGGGAATAACATGTACAATGTTCTAGTAGTGGGAACTGTCGTGTAACATGTTAAATTAAAATAATGTTTCTTATCGATGAATTTTTTCGTTTTGCTGGCAATGAAATAATTGGCTTCTAGACACTTATATTAATAAAAAAAAACCCTTTGCAAGCATTTTTTGTAGTCCGGTTTTGCTACTTTCGGTGTAAGTGTAGGAATTTCCCTACGTCTCCTGTACCTAACTAAAAATAGCAAGCAAAAAAATACGACGTGCCACTTTTTGCAGTTAGATTAGGGACTATGAGATGCTGTCATATCATCAACTACTAAGGCAGATACATTTTGTAAATTAAAAGTCATTGTTACGGACAATGAATACTTTACACTGGCCAACTTGGAAATCAAAGGAAAACGATGGTTTTTATACGAAACATATTATAGAATAGTGCTCAAGCAATATAAAATAAAGAAAAAAGGAAATTCGATGATGTGCAATTTCTACTAAAGGGACATCCAACCCTTATGTGGCTCGAATAAGGGGAGAAGTTATAGATTCTGAAAGTTATATTAATTGCTTCACTGAATTAGTTGATTTTATACACCATCACGTTGGAGACGATATAATGTTCTAATAGAGGCCTTACACGCTCCGATATAGCCTGCAGGCCAAAATACACAGTTCTGATCTAAAGGTAAGATTTAAGCAGCTCATTTAATTCTTCAGAAAGAGGACAAAAGAGGAGAGGTCAGATGTGAATCAGATCGAGCACTTAACGTTGAGTTATAAACTGAATCGATGGACTATTCAGTTCAAATCTCACAAAAATAGTAGCTTTCTGTACCAAAATAAGATTAATCCCAGGTCCGCGGCTTAGAATTTTTATAAATATTCGCAAAACAGATATTCAAGCAGCCCAGGACCCAATGAGTAACATTCGTATAAAATTTTGCCTATAGCCGGTCTCTCCAAACCTTGTTTGACCAGAGGTTATAGGCTAGGCGCAGGTTTTCGAAAATTATTATGTAGGATATGAACTGTGCATATTTGTAAATATTTTAACGTGAATAGTAATAAATTTTGGGAATCAACAAGTCGAATAAAGTAAATCAAAATAATAAAAAACGAGCAGGGCCGACTAGAGGGGGGCTAGCCGGGACTAATTCCCGGGGCCCGGGCTTAAATGGGGCCCGGCAGCGCTGTAAGGGGGGACCCGACAACAGGTTTTTTTTGTTCTGCATGGAAATTCGACAGAGGACCTTTTTTTGTAGAAGAAGAAGTAATTAAAGTAGGGAGAATAGTTTTCTGATGTGAGGACCTTTTTTTTTTAGAAAAAATTCTATTTCAGTAGTTTTTGGTTAAAATTTTTTTTGTCACGGGGCCCGATCTTGAGAATTGTCCTGGGGCCCGGCCTGGCTCTCGGAGGCCCTGAAAACGAGAACGGACAACAGTTGTAGAAGAAACGATCCGCTTTGAACTGATAAACCAGTGTTGCCAACTTTTTGGATACGTAAATCCGTAGGAAGGGTTCGAAAAATCCGTAGAAATCCGTAGATTTTTCTTTGCTACAAAATGATTGATTAAAATATTTTTAAAATAAAAATAAAGATGTTTGTCTTGTCGACTTTACATAAAACTAAAATTTATGTATTTGCAATAAAACAATAATACATATATTAGATACTTATATATTTTTTTTTAATAACTGATTATTGGCTTATAATTATTGTAAACAAAAATATATAACCTAAAAAAACTAAAAAATAAAATAACCTAAATTCTGATAATAGAACTAAAATCTGAAAATAAAACACAAAATACTTTGGATAAACCTAAAAATAACCAACATCAAGTCCTTAGTTATCTTCTGAAGAAAGTGTAAAAGGTTGATTTTCTGGACGCTGATGTCGATATAAATTGGAAGAAAATTTTACTTATCGTTAGTATAATTTTCTTGGTTATAGGAAATAATATTTTAATTACCTTTTATCAATAAAAGTATGTTTTAAAATTTTTACTGAGTATGTTTGGGTTTATTTGTAGAAATCCGTAGATATGGGTTCTTTATCCGTATATCCGAGAACAGAGTTAAAATTCCGTAGATCTACGGAAAAATCCGTAGGGTTGGCAACACTGTGATAAACTAATTTTGACTAGGGATGTTGCGATACTTTTCTTTCGATGCTTTACCCATATCGATACTACTTTTGTTTCGATACTACTGCTTTCGTTTCAATATTTTACTAGTTTTGATATTACAATATATAAAAAAAAAGTATTGTAGGACCACTTTATTGTATATTATATCGGCTTACCATATGGTCTTTTTTTTTTGGTTGTTCTATACTCTTCCCGATATCGGTATCGATACTTTGGTTCCGATACCCTTTCGATACCGGTGTCGATACTTTGGTTCCGATACTCTTTTCGATACTAGTATTGATATTTTACTGGTATATCCCAATATCCCTATTTTTGACTATATTCAGACGATAATCGGACACTAATTTTAGGCTGATGTGCACATGATCACTGCATCTCTTTATCGCGGCGAGTATAATTATTGACGGTCCCTTCATTTAGTTTAAGTTACTTATTACAAAAATATATGGACACGACACACTAGGACGTATTGGGACATACGTTATACTCGTACAAATCTTTGATAATTCATTGAATAATTTAGTCAAAAATATTTCGTAACAATATTTGTTATTATTAAAATTATTTAACTTACTAATGCTACATAAAGCTCCTTCCCATCCTTCAATGCAAATACATTGAAATGCATTCACTTTATCTACACAGGTTCCACCATTCTCGCAGGGATTAATCTTACAATCGTTGATATCTAAAAACGTATGTTAAAAATATTAATATAAATTAATATACCGTGAGCACCATAAGTCTTACCCCCCCCCCCCCCCCCCCCCCTATCTAACTCGTTACTGGAGTCTTGTTAGGAAAATCGCCGAGACACGTCGGCCCTGCATGATTTTGGTTTTGGTTCAGACGTGAAGTACGACTTTTTGCCATTAGAAGGTCACTATTAGTTTAGTTGCTTTCCTATTTTGTAAGGTTTTGTTATTTTTAAACATTAATAAATCAACACGTAATGAAGCAAATTTCAAATTTTTTTGCACGGTTGAATAGAGAATAAAACCCTCTTTCAAATGAGCTATCACTCACCACCCCATGCCACTTAAATTTTTCTAAAGGGTTGCTCCCCTCCAGTAAGGGATGAAATAAAGGGTAAACTAATTATACAAAAATGTACATTGTAGAAATCAAAAATCGACCTGTCTCGGCAATTTTCCTAACAAGACTCCAGTAATGAGTTAGATAGGGGGGGTAAGACTTATGGTGCTCACTGTATAATCGATAATACAGTATTTCTCTTTCGTTCCACGAAGGTGGTATTTTTTTTGGTACATTATAAACGTCTACATATAACTTAGTCCAGTCATTAGGTACTTTTTTTTTGTGCAAAAAGTTTTAAAATCTGAAACCCTATTGTTCGGTCCTGTAAATCGTGAAATAAAAATCTGACTAAGTAATTTTAGCAGAGGAGCCCACGATGCTAAATGGGGATTTACTCGAGCGTCATAGAGACGGATTGCAAAGCTTAGATGATAAGAAGAAAAAAATGTCATATAATATATACCTTTTCATCGGTGGGGGAAGCGACTATAGATTTTTAAATATGTAAAAAAATACTGTTGCATGGACATACTCGAGCGCGTCAGATATTGATAGCATCAATGTCCTACGTATTTTTAATAATGTACGTATGTTAATCTGATCGTTTGCATGATGCGGGTGGTTGTACGTAAGGGTTGAAAATGAAAAAAAAAAAAAATTATCGAGCGTGTCAGATTTTCTAAGGGGATATTAAGTGAACAAAAAAAAGCTCTCATTCAATAATCTGACGATTTCGATGTGACGCAAACTCCATTATTATAATGTGCAAAAAAAATTCGCCATTTTGAAATACTCAAGCGCATCAGATTAAGATATACATGGTTCATCTTTATGTCCTAGACGTGCTGTCTCATAATCTCACGATTATCTAGAGGGATTCGCCTAATCTGACAAAAAAAAATATTTTTTTAATTCATTGAACTTAATTAATTGAAAAGCTCAGGAAATAGCATGCAAATAAAAAAGTGTATGTTTTTCAAGTAGAATACTACTTGTATTTATTCGGACTATAATTTTTATTTTTTTGAATTGTGTTAAATAAATCAAGTACTCTTGATGGGAACTTATGAATAAAAAATCTGATGTGTCCAACACATGACTTTCCTATCTAGTTATTACAGGCTTTTTCCGGTTATTTTGTACAACCTATTGCAGCATCTCTATAAATGTTTAGAGGATAAACTAAATATATACATTGTCCATATACATCTACCGCGAAACATTTTTCTATAGATATTCATTGAAAATGAAAATACTGAAAAATTTAAATTTAGCACTTTTCCTACAATTTTTCCATTACGGTCCATTTTAAAAAAATCATGTATGAACAAATATTATAGAGATCGATATCGCAAACAACTTTTATTTCAACAATTTTCATAAAAATCAGAATTTTGCACATTTTGTCAAATTTTTCGAATACGGACCATTTCAGGAAATTTTTACATAAAGCAAAAATTATAGATAATAATATTAGAAGTAACTTTTATTTGAACAATTTTTTTCTCCAAACATAAATAACAGATATATTCCATAAAATATAAAAACGGCCCCCCAGATGTTCCGACTTTGTCCAAAATCTAATAATTTCACGTCAGACCGAAATAAACCTTAAGTTTAAAATTTAATGTTTTTTCCTTTATCCGTTTTTGAGTTTTCTTCAAATTTCGAAATTTACACATTTTCTCAAATATCTCGAATACGGTCCATTTTAGAGAAATTATGTATAGAATAAAAATTATAGAGAATTATATTACAAACAACTTTTATTTGAACAATTTTTATAAAAAATTATTTTTTTTACATTTTGTCAAATTTCTCGAATACGGACCATTTTAGGAAAATTTTATATAGGACAAAAATTATAGATAATAATATTGTAAGTAACTTTTATTTGAATATTTTTCTTCTCCAAACGTAAATAACGAATATATTCCGTAAAATATAAAAATGACCACCTATAAAGTACCCCCCCAGATGTTCCGACTCTGCCCAAAATCTAATCAGCTCATTGGACGCTGAAATAAAGCTTAAGTTTAAAATTTGGTGTTTTTATGTGTATCGGTTCATGAGTTATGCGTTATACAGACACACACACACACACACACACACACACACACACACACACACACACACACACACACACAGACACACACACACACACACACACACACACACACACACACACACACACACACACACACACACACACACACACACACACACACACACACACACACACACACACACACACACACACACACACACACACAGACATCATCGCGAAAATAGTCAAAACGGATTCAGGGGACCTCAAAACGTAAAAATCCGTCGAAAACTCGAGGTCGAAAAAAATCATGATTCCTATACTTTCCTTATATCTGTATACAGATAGGAAAGTAAAAATGAAAAAGTTAAAATTTCAGAAATTCAAAATAATATATCTTATGACACCAAAAAGTTTTGCCGAATTTTGTAAAATTATACTGATAGAGGAATAGAAACGCGGAGAGGGAAATATAGGCATCACGCAACTGCACATATTAAACTTTATCGACGAATGTTTGTTATTTCGGCTTGCGGAAATCGTCAGATTATATATTTTTCGTTATCCCTGAATTATTACCTTCAAAATAAAAAAAAAATTAGTTACGCTCGAGAATGTCGAGACGACGTTTTTTTTTACAACTTTGCTGCCCTCCCCTTTCTTTACGTCACTCTCAAATTGTCAGATTTAGCATGTAATTAACTCACCCTACCTTAATCTGATGCGCTCGAGAATTTCTGATGAACAATGTTTTTTTACTAATCTGATCCTTTATCCTTCACGGGCGGCCCTATATATGGGGCTCATATTTGGTGGAGGTACTCAACCGGGTACAAGGTATCCCCCTGTATATTAATCTGCCGCGCTTTAGTAAATCCCGAAATCCCCGCTTGGGCTCCCCTATTATTTTGTACCAAATTCTATTCTCTCCAACTTCCAAAAAAAAAACATTTTCTTTAGAAACTACACGTACTGTATTTATGTTGGTACTATACAGGGTCTCTCTATTTCTTAAACGGTTAAATTAGGCAAAAGTTGCGCAGTTTTGTGCTCATTAAAATGGTGCCAAGAACCCTTTGATATCTTCTACAGGGAGATTCAAAATATAAGGCAAAAAAATGAAATGAATTTATAGAAACGACAATTTTCATTTTATTGTCCGATATTTTAAATCTTCTTGTAGATATCAAAGGTTTCTTGGCACCATTTTAATGAGCACAAAACTACGCATTTTTTTGTCTAATTAAACCAACTTTCTGTTACCGTTTAAAGAATAGCAATACTGTCCTATGAAATCGTAGGGACGTATATTTGTGTGTCTATATTGAAACAGAATAGATGAACAATACAGAATGGAAAGTAATAGTCGGCACTTTGAAGTAGAAGGTACTCTGAGAAAACTAATATACGGGAACATAAACTAGTCATTGCAACTACACTGCGAAAACTACATTTATTTCTATTTTACTTTGACAACGCTCTACCATTCTTTTCTGGTGTTCATCTATTCTGAGATATTGGTATCGCTCTTAATATAAGAGATATAAGGTCGTTTAAAATGGGAATGTTTCAGAGAATTTGTTGTTCTTGGACCTATTTTCAAAATTATTATGTTATGTAGTTTTTGGGTGTATAAAAAAAAACTAAAAATGGCAGATTTTGTTTTTTTATGACGACTTAACCGTTGCTTTGTCGTATTCCAAAGTGTTACATTCTTTAAACCACTTTTTAGTGGAGAATATTTAATAGAAAAAAATTGTCTTTTGTTTTCGAGTTACTGTAACTTTGTTATTTCTTATGACGACCATCTTGGATTTTTACATAATATTACTACCCTCTAAATTATCTTTTATACGATTTGTCAAGTACATTTTTAAGAACTACCTTAAGGGGCATTACTTTCTGCCTCTGATTAAACACACGGTTATTATATAAATCATGTTTTTAATCGAACCAAGCAAGCATTATTGAATTTAAATACCATTATTAAATATCTAACTAATCTGAAAGAAGTTCTTAGTTCTCAAGACCAAATAATTAATATTATTAAATTCCTAAAATACATTAATATCCTTTACAAGTTATAAATACTTAATTGTTTTTTTATAATAATAATATATTATTTTGTACCTGTGTCAATGACCCTGACAGTCGAGACACTTTAATTTTAATAAAAAAAAAATACAAAATATCTAACTATTCTTTTTATATACAACTCACAAAAAATTATAATATATTAAAAACTTACTTTCATGACAATATTTTCCAGTATACCCCGATTGGCATTGGCATTTATATCCAATTCCGGGTTGATTGATGCAATGCCCATGTTCTCCACATAAACTTGGTGCCGAAGACTTACTTCCTCCAACAGAAATAATCAAACAGCTTTCAATACCTGGAACATATGAAAGATAAAAAATAGTATTTTGTTATTCAATATACCGATTTAATCCAAATAATTGGAACCGTAGATATACAATATCAGATATCATTTTTTTTAAGCCGTATACGAGGTTTGTCAAAAAAATTTGATTTTTGCTGAAGAGTAAAGTACCTTTATTTTTGACAAACCTCGTATACTACTCATAAAATAGTTGCATTTTAAGTTTTGGACCATGCAGAACTTTTTATCACGAATAAACTTATAATAAAAAAGTTTTCCATATGGTTCCAACTTAGTAAGACATATTGTATAATCAAGACAGAATTATTTACAAAATTTATGAAACCAACATCACATTCTAAGTATATTGCAATATTCTGATTGAACATTGATGCCAAGTTTACGGCGTTTTTAACATTAGTAGTGCAATATATGCCATCTCGCAATACTGTGAGTCCTTCAAATGATCGGAAGAAATTTTACGTCTGACAACAGCGTAATAATAAGCAGCAATATGTGTAAGAAGTGTAAACCTGTTTTATTCATATTTTAACTTTGAGAATTGTTTTGATGTATGAAAAGTGTTTTTTTGAGTTTTCTTAAAAGCGTCAGTAATATCAAATTATGACAGCTTGCTGTAAACATCAATTTTGCAGGTACTTTTCAAGGCGCAAAAGCCTACTTTCGATAGTGATCGTAAAAAAAATATTTTGTAGGTTTAATAGTCAATTTACTATAAAAATGGAATCAAAAACATTCAAATACCTAAACAAATCCTTACAGGGTTTGTGGTAAACTAATTTTAACATTAGTTTTCATTAGAGCCTGTAAAAAAAGTTTAGGTACGTTTAGTTTAGTTTATAATGCTTATTATTGCTTATTGATTGAAAAAACCAAAGTTATATTTGTTTATCCAAGTTTTTTTTTGTATATTCAATAATAAATAGTGAGTCATAATATAACAAAACCTGTAAGGAAATAATAATAATTTAAATAATAGTCAGTCTACAGAGTATAGGTACCTACTCTTAGAAAACAATAAATAGGTATCTACTAAAATAATAATTAAGAATAAAAAATTCGGATTGATGAGATTATTAAATACTTACTGCCAAAATTAATTAATATTAAATATTTTCCCCTTATAAGAATGATACGCCTATGTATATTTTCAATACACCAGCAGATAATGACGAGTCTGTCGCAATGTTCTGCCAAGATCATTATGTCCCTCACTTCTATTTAGAAAAAGAGATTTTGATGTTGGCTTCAAATCAAATCCAATTTTATGAATGAGTAGTTAGGGATGTGATTGGAACCACCAACAGTTTAAAAGTTGATTTATTGTAAATTGGTTGGAATAATATTTTTATATTTTTTCATATTTATTTGTTTAATAATTCGAATCTTTGTTAATTTTGAAATATAGGTACGAAGTCATTTTTTATTTTTGATTTATGTAGTAAGCTGCAAACTGCGAGTAGGTACGTCAATTAACTCGAGAAAACAAGGAACGGTTAGTGGACCGGTCCAGTTCGATTTCTGGCCCAGTCGGAGGTCTAGGTATCCCACAGAGACTGCTTCAGGTGTCTTGCAAGGAAAATGTCTGTCAACTGAACGCGTTCCATATATATACGAACATTCTTACCGAAATGTATTTCGAACTAATTTTTTTTTTTTTTTTGAAGTACAATCAAGTTTTAACAATAATGATTTTAGAGAAATTTTCGTCACTTTAAAAATGCATTCCTATACAACCGGATTACTACTCGAAGAGTTTTAGAAAATTTAAACTTTTAATGATATTGACATTTCGATTATCACATAATGCGATAAGATTAATGAAATATAGGTATCAATGCGACTTATCTTGTTTATCAAAATGGTATTCACGGCTTAATGCACAACCAACAACAAACCATCGCATCGTTTGAGTAGGTGTTTTAATTTTGAATTTAGATGTACGATAAAGAAGATCGTGTTCGTGATATGATTTAAAATTAGAGACGGTATTTTAACAAAGAAATATATCTAATTACTAATTATCCAATTGATATCGGTACATTCGATACTTAAATTTAAATACGAGGTGTTACCAAAAAGTTTCTAAACTTCGTTGTTCAGCTTAACATTTTCACATAGGTCGTCTTTTTTTATCAAACAGTGTATGAGGTTTGATCTCAGTTTCACCTAATTACAGTATATCAAATTTATATTTTTGACAGTTTGACAATATAGGTTATATAGTATATAGTATAGTACCTAAATAAACTGTTGGTTGCAACTATGACGACTAGAGGAAAGGAGTCGAAATAAATGACTTATGTGGATTTTTCATCATTTTAAGAAAATAATAAAAATAAAGTTTTAATTACAAAATAAAATAATTTTAAATAAGTTTTATTTTAATTGATAAATTATTTATTGTTTAATTTTGGCAGAATTTGGTTAATTATTATTGAGCTGAGGATAAACTAAAACACATCAGTATAACTGAAAACATTTTTTATTTTTGTAATAGAATAGTATACAGGGTGTACCAATAAAAACTCCCAGGCCGGATATTGTGGTAAGTAATAGAAATATTTTAATTCTGTAAAATCCAGTTCATAGATCGCTAAGAGAGCTTCAGTTTTAGATATAAATTAATTTTAAATAGGTCAATATGTAGATGGCGCTGCGCTTAATATTTTTTTTTTCGATGGGAGGATCTTTCTTGTGTAGCGCATCTTGTAAAACATTCATTTTTAAGCAGATTTTGTTCTATGAACTAATTCGATACAGTTTCAGACTTTCTTAAAGTGATGTTTTGCAGTTATGTCTAACCTTTTATATATAATTTTCTATGTTTTCTAATGCAGATAGGTCTTTCTAAAATTGTATCTGGTGAAATAAAATGTAAGTTTACCAAATGTGTAATATTTAGAAATCGAAATTTTTGTAGACATGAGCTCTTGTCTTAGTAGGGCTTAATCTTCATAGTCGCAATAAGATCTTGAAATTTGATTAGTACTTTAAATGAAAAAACTATAAGGAGAAGAAGTTGATTGGTTTTCCCTTCCAGAGCAACATTCCCTACTACTGGCATCAAGAGAATCCGATAAAAAACTCATCGACCTGTTTGAAAACAACTTTTAATCGTAGCAGATTAACAAAATTTCCTTTTTCATCTTCATGCTTTTGTGAAAATTGATTTTCGGCAATGGTAGGAATTAAAACAAAATATCGATAAATCTGTAACTGTGGAACTACTGAAAATTTTTCGAACTGATTTGGACTTCACTGCCTTCAATAAGAGCAATCGAAAACAATCGGTTGCTTCACACGCCTTATTAGTAGAAAAATTTGTTAAAAATATTCGATAAGGTAACGTTATTAATATATTTTTAGAATGAGGTGTTTTTCTTATTAGTCAAGTATCTCCGAAAAATATGAAATTTTCAGAAAAAATGCATGACTACAATTCACCAGTATCTAGAATACAAGGACGACCTAGCAATTGTCGTAAGGGGGCGATTTGAAGTCATAGTTTCGGAGCGATCTCAAACAGCTCTACACATAGGTGCAAAAAGGGTTAATTCTCCATTAACGCACAAAAATAGAACAGTAGTACCATTCCCGTACTTACAAGAAATAAACACGAAACCCATCCAAGAATCCTTAGCTTGGGTACCAGATCTCGAAGGATATCAGGCAATGAAAAGGCCGCCGAAGTAGCCCGAGATGATCATGACATACTCCAAACCTTTCTGTGGAGTTGCTAAGACAATGTGCAAGGCATCCATCAAACAATGGATTTAAAAAGAGACTCAAGGATGGTGGAATAACTATCTAGGATTGAGTCCACTAAGAAGCCGTCGGTCAACTACACAAAAGACCTACTGGATCAAAAACGATAAATCGTTAGGATAACAGTAGATCTTTTTAACGGACACTGTCGCCTAAAAAGTTACATGACTATCATCAATCCAGCAGATGCCGTAACATTTTGCAGGTTCTGTGAAGAAGAAGAGAAAACATCAATAGACGTCCTGTGCCTAGATTGAGATTTCTAACAATATATGAAGAAAAGCAAGAAGCAAGTGTCTAATAAAAATAACCAAGCTAGACGACATATTCTAAATAAAGGAGTCCCCACAATAAATCTGAAAAGATCACGGTGGACAAGGTTAAATAATGTCCAACTCCTTTAAAATCTAATCTCTACTACAATTCATTAAGATATGATATCTACCTACGTATTATGATGTAGTAAAACGATAGCCTGTGTAAACGAAATTAATTTAAAAACTTTCATGCTGGAGTGCCGCCACTCACGGGAGTACAGTTAAAAACATTAAAAAGGTCAAAAAATAAAGTAATTGTTGAAATATTCTTTTTATTATAAATAGGTCAGGAGCAGGGAACAACCTTCGTATACTGTTAATACTAAAAAAATTAAATTTTAGTTCATGGTGTACGAGTATATAATTTGTTGTTTTAAGTTGAGAATAAATATTTAATTACAACAGAAAATAATTTAAATTAACTTACCGTCCTCGCATGATGGACTATCGCATACGATTTTTGGCTGGCTGCAGTTTTTTCCTTGCCATCCTTCAGGACAATGGCAATAATAGTCTGATTGGGTTTTAAAACATGGAGCACCATTTTGACACGGATCAGGATTGCAATGATCATAATTGTTCTATAAAAAATGTTACGATTAAAACAAATTATTGCGCTATCCACCGTTATGTAAAACTTTCGATTTACGTGGATCGAAAATATTTTTAAAGTGATCATGAATATCTACTGATAATGTTTTAAGTATTTCCTTTATTAATTATGAATGAAATAATATAAGAACACACGTACCTCACATTCAAATCCCGTAATCCCCACTGGACAAATACATTTGTAGCCATATACTTGATCAACGCATTCTCCACCATTTTTGCAAGGATTTGATTCGCAATCATCAATGTCCGTAATACAATCTCTACCTGTAATTAAAATATTACATCGATGTCAATAAGTAGGTACGTAAACCTCAAATTAGGTAAGGCAAGATAATCAGTAAGGAAATTACATAATATAGGAATCATGATTTTCTTCGACCTCGAGTTTTTGACATCCGTTTTGACCATTTTTGTGATGATGTCTGTCTGTGTGTCTGTATCTACGATAATTTAATAACTAAATTGTAAACTTAAGCTTTAATTCATCCTACGAAGAGCTGATTAGATTTTGGGCATATTTGAAGCATCTGAGGAAATATTTTATAGGGGGTCATCGCTTTTATACTTTTCTATAGTATTCCAGTATTTTAACAGGATGTTCTACCAACAATTTAAAAGGGAGTTGTCTTATAAAATTTTGAAATTGGGCTACTTTTTTAAACGGTTCTCTTGTATTAAAACGTAAAGATACATTGTTTTTATTTTTTTGTATGCAAACTCTTAAATATACGAAAGAGTGAAAAAAATTTTAAATTAGGTACGGGTATAGTCTAGAGCAGAGGTTCCCAAACTCTTTTGTTTCATAGACCAAGAATTCGTAGCCTAGCTTCGATAAGCAACAGAGAAGCTGAAAACACTACCTCGTCCTCATCTGTAATCGAACCAAGCCATATTCAACACCCAGTTTCACAATTCCATTCTAGCAAGATCATTAAGCCACCCATGTTTGACGGTCAGACAACATGGGAAACGTATCGCCTCCAATTTGAAGCTGCAGCTAGAGCCAATGGCTGGACTGAAAAGGAGAAGGCGGCTGCATTAATAGTGTCGCTGCGAGGACAAGCAGCAACCGTTTTACAGTTACTCCCTCAAGAAGAATCCAGTTATTCATCTCTCGTCCAAGCTTTGGAGATAAGATATGGCCAGCAGCATTTGAAACGGGTATTTCAAAGCCAGCTAAAGATTCGTAGTCAGAAACATAATGAGAGTCTACAGGAATTCGGGGCTGACATAAGAAGATTGATTCATCTGGCCTATCCACAGGCGCCCAAAGATTTCCAAGAACAAATCGGAATAGAGGCGTTCATTGATGGACTACAAGATGCGAAAATGCAGCAAGTCCTTCGTCTACAACATCACAAGACGCAAGGAATATGAAGCGGTAAAACTCATATCCAGATCTTCTCGCGCAAAAATGAGAGAAATTAAATCCCAGAAAAGTGAAGAGGCCAATACTAATGCTATTCCCCAAATCTTAAATATCCTACGAAATATGCAACGCAACAGCCAAAATGGAAGCAGGAGATGCTTCAATTGCGGAAGAATCGGACACCTTCAAAGAACCTGTAGAAGCATGGCTCATTCTATGAATCGAGAATCAGCGAATGGGACCGGAAAATCATATAGATCAATCTTTCCAAGTCCATCACTAAGACCAACAAGAATTAATTACAGCAGCTATGCGCCCCGAAGATTTGGGCAACCTCGTTTAGAAGAACAATGCTGGTATGGCAAAAGGCTCCTTTCCTTAAGGAAAATCAACAACCTGATCTGCCGCATTCAACTGTCAACGGGAAGTAAACCCAAGGTAGTTCACATTGAAAAGTTAGCGCCATACCGTGGTCCAGATCCTCCCCATTGGCTCCAGCTAGGTATCAGTAATCAAGTTATTCGGGGCGAATAACTAGAGAAGAGGGAGCAGTGTTACGCAGCACCCTGTAGCGTGCTGCGGTCGTCATAAGTAAAGGTACCAGTAAATGAAGAAGATAGAATATTCCCGACATGTCTCGAAATGTCATTCCCTGTCAAAGAAAAGTCCAGATTGTTCGAGAATGTCTTAGAAGATCGAGGCAAGCTATATAAGGCGACGACCTGACGTCAGTTTTAGTTTTATGATAGACGTTACATGTTAATGTTATCAGTTGTATCGTTATTGTTAAAGTTGAATTGAGTTATTATAAAGTTGAATTGAAATAAATTGTGATACCAAAAACCAGTGTAACAGTATATTGCTTCACTATCGAAACCAAATTAATTTTCATGCACCCCCGCTTACGATTGTGGACCCCATTTTTTATTACGCCCAACGTAGACCCCCATCGAGTCTCCCGTGGACCCCTGGGGGTCCACCTGAACCACTTTGGGAAATGATGGTCTAGAGAACAAAGGAGTGCAGTAATTTAATTTGCAGAACGTAGTACAACAATTTTGATAGAAGCATAAGGTTTATTTTTATTTTTTGTAAATAATATAACTTTTTTCATTCAAAATTTAACCTACGAAGTGCGTATATACTATTTTATATGCCCTGACCTTATTTAAATTATAAACACTTATTTTGAAAAGTACGCCTATGGAATGTGACGTTATATTCCCACTTTTACTGCACTCCTCTTTTATTCAGACTCTATTAGTTATTACATTTTTTATTATAATTTCTAGTCTAACCGTTTTCTAGACAAAATAATGAAAAATAATTTTCTTCGGCATTTAAAGACTTAAATATCTCGACAGAGTGGACCCAAATTACAAAATTTTATCAACGCCCACCTCTCTATAAATGGTTTTGTAGAACAACATGTTAAAATATCGGAACATCATTACGGAATACCCTGTATATTTATGTTAGAGAACAAAATTCTTCAAATAAGGGTTGTTTGTGATGTAATTTTCTATAAATTTTGTTATTCATGATTTATCTAAAATGGATCGCAATGGAGAAATTTAGGAAAAAGTCCAAGATTGAAAGATATGTAAAAATGTTTCGAACAATATATGTGTCAAAAATGTGTATCTTTAATTGTTATCTAAACACTTTTTGATTAGATGGGCCGTACTCAATATATTTGATAACTTTACCGGAAAATCATGATATTCTTATTTATAAGTAGTATTTATGCTTACACTTACCGGTGTATCCAGGCATACAGGCACAGTGATAATCATTGACTAGATCAATGCAAGTTGCACCGTGCTGACATTGCCCAACGCAGTCGTTGATGTTCTGATCACATTTTTTTCCCATCCAACCCACTCGACATTTGCAATGATAATCGCCTACTAAATTAGTACACGAAAACGCATTTATGCAAGGATTGTTGAAACATTCATCGGCATCTGAAAGATTGAATTAATAATGATATATTTAATTTTAATTTATAGATTGTGGTTAGTCTAAATTTATTTAGGTATTATTTTTTTGTTAATATAGAACTTACCAAATTGACATAAATTTCCTTCCCATGCGCTCGAACAATTGCACATGAAAGAGTTGTCCAAATTAATACAAGTTCCACTATTTTGGCAAGGTGCAGAAATGCATTCATCAAAATCTGGAAAAATATACATATTAATAGTATATTATTGAGGGCAATTATTATTAATTTATTAATTCAACATTTATGCCATTTTACATTTATAAAAAAAATAAAAATTTCATGCGGAAGACGGATAAAATAAAAATATAAAACAAACAACAGTGGTCAGAATCTAACAATAAAATACTTCAATAATGTTCCAAGATTGTACTACCAGAATGTAAGAGGATTGTGCACCAAATTGTCTAAACTTTGTCTTAACGTATCAAATTGTTTCTGTGATAAGTATAATTAGATTCACTGAAAGTTGGTTATTTGCTAATGTTGGGGATGCTGAACTAGGTCTTTATAACAACAATATCTATAGACAAAATCTCACAGCCGGGTCGAGAACACTGAGCAGAGGTGGAGATAGTGTCTTGATTGCAGTAAAGAACATTTTTTCCAACTGCCTTATTCCATGTAAATCTTTGATGGAATTTATATTTTATTTCATCGGAAAAAATAAATTTATATTGACTACAATAGGATCTATCATCTACTTCTCAACCCAACTCATATACTTACTTAGTCCAATTTAAAATATTAAAATTTTAAAAGATCGCTATCCAGACTCCAACTTTTTTTTCTGTGATATTACAATATTCCTATTGCTATTACAAATTGAACTTGCCGTTCTTAAGTCTATCGATGTTCTGATCCTACCTGATACTCATCACCTATCGCTTTAAAACCATGAAGAAGAGTATTGTTACACTGGTTTTTGGTAACTCAACTTTTACAATTCAACTATACAACTGATAACAATGAACGTGTAACGTCTATCCTAAAAATGAAACTCTGACGTCAGGATCATCGACTTATATAGGCTCGCTTTAACCTTCTAGAACTTTCTCGAACCGTCCAGATGTTTCTTGAAATGGAATTACATTTCTAGACTATTCTCTCTCTTCTTCTGTTACTCATGATGACCGCAGCAAACAGTAGGGTGATGGGTGACATTGCACTTCGTTTTTTAGACGTACGTTTCCTATAACAGCCTCAGGATACCGCAGGGTGCAGAGTAACAGTATTAACGACTTTTATAAAGCCGATTTTACTGCTATATGCCAGTACTTGATAGGATATACTATAAAGGACACACTCTTTTGAAATAAAGAACTTTTTGCTATGGTAAACACTTTCTATGATATCAGCCATGGAATTATTTGTTCCACTTAAGAAATTATTAATAAAAAATGTTCAATGCTGGTATCCATCGCATCTTAGAAAGTTGACTTATGATAAGAAGATTGCTTATAATATCTACAAAAGCACGAATCCTCCTGGAAGTTATGATGTATTTAGTATTCTAACACTGTTAACTCTTGTGTTATTTAAATTATGTTATTTAAATCATGTAAACTCTATTCAAACCTCTGTTAAAAATACTATTACGGTCTTCTGGAATGTTGTTAATAATCAAAAAGAACTTCCTTATTCCAAGAACAATGAATTTGGATGGATTTTAAATGTCCTTGGGCTCGAAAATAGCTAAATTATTTGCCGATGATTTTTCTTCAGTATACACCAATCAGACTATCGATCTGTATGAGTTTAATATTGCATCGAAATTTAATGTATGCTCATAATCATATCCCAATTTCAACTATTTACGAGAAGTTATCTAAACTTTTCTCCCTTACTCCTAAAAAAACTGCTGCTGTATTTTTAACAAATCATTGGATACGAGGGATTGTTTTGATTATTGAAAACTCATATGTCACTCCAATATACAAGTCTTGTAAAAAATCTGACATAAAAACACCGTCCTATATCTATAATTAGCAGAATCCTAAAGCTCTTTGCTTTTATTAACTTATTACTCCGCTAGTATCATAACTTCGCAATGATTTGGCTTTCGCACCTGCAAGTCAACTGAATTGAATTGAGTTGCTTGTGCTAACTTTCTTTCCGAAGCCCTGGAGGTAGGGTGTCAGGTAGGCGCTACACCTACTTTTCCCAGGCTTTTAATAGAATTGATCATGAGTTGTTGATTCATAAACTACTTACAAGTAGATTTGGTTTATGTGGCTGCCATTAATAGAACACAAATAGTCAAAGTAAAATATTACTATTCTCATGACTACTCTGTTATTTCTGAAGTTCTCTAAGGCTTCAATCTGAGATTATGGGTCCAGCCGTATCTCCGTAGGGATGGGGAATAGGAAAAAATTGGTTATAGGAGCTTGTTACGTTACTTTTATGTGTTCTATCCGAATTTGAGAGATCGCCCACATATTCTGGAACACCTATGGGCTCTAAAAATCTGTATGGAGTATCTGCCGCTCATATCTTGAGCTCTTCTGATTCATTTTCACGGTTCTTTATGTTCTCACCCCTTCCTTAAAGATTATTGTATCTAATTGTGTCGTATACGATTCTTCTCCATTCATTTTCCTCACCTTTTTCACAATTTGTGATTCCTAGGACCGTTTCTTTTAATACGACTATTTATGTTACTATGCGTATTTTACAATGCCTCCCCCATTCATCAAATTTGTCTTATTTCATAATTCAAAAGTATCCTCTATCGTTCTTGGTATTTTTCTTAAGATTTTCCTTTCTAATATTCTTAACCTTTCCTCACCATTCTGACAAAGATACATTGTTTCAGCTACATATGTTATTATCGGTCCAATTTAAACATATCTGTCTTCCAGTAGTTTAACTTGAGGCATTTGTATAATTAATAAGGTGTAATATCAACTAGAATTGAATCTATTTTAAATTATGAATAAAATACAGTTTAGGTAGACATTCATAAACAAATCGCTTTTAAAAACAGGCGAGGTTTAAGAGGTTTGCAAATGAATGTAATTTCTCTGAATCCAATGTGATGATGACTGGATTAAAATTAAATTAATTCTTTTCTTAACCGAAACAGATCAAGAGATTTAGTGAAATGGATACACGAGGCGTGATACACAACTTTCGCCCATAAATCATTATAATTAAATAATTATTGAAAAAAATAATGACTGGTTTAAAACAATGAAATATAGCTTTAATACGAGGTAACACGATATTTTTAAGATCATTTACAAATGTACATTCTGTTCACTCAAATTTAATATATCATAGGCAATGAATTAAGTTTTACAAAAGTTATAGACCATTTCATCGATTATGGCGTGTACGTCATCACTAAGATACGAAATAAGTAAGCATAAGGTATGGCCAGTGGCGGCGTCAAATGTACAAGTTTTTACCAACAATAAATTAAATTATTATCGAAATATTTTTGTTTTTTGTTTTATTATATTACACTAATCTAGAATAGGATAATACGGATTAAGTGGCTGTGTATGATGCTGCAGCTTGGATTTAGACACTTTGCTTCTCTTTGAACATTTTTGAAACTTTGTTAAATTTGTTGTACCCACATCCATTTCTTCCAATGGGGACAATCCGAATGATAGATGCCAATGTTCATGCAGTAGTTCGTTTATTACATATTATCTAGTAATTAGTGGGTTACTCATGTATCAGATTCAACAGCTCTATTTAAAAGTGTCTTTGCTAAAACTTATTCTTTTACGTCGTAACTTTGATGTCCACGAACCTTAAGAATAATTTTTCTATTAAAAAAACTGACAATTAGCATTGGTCTAAATTTTTCACAAAGTCATTTTTTAAAAGATTCGTTATCCATAGAATCATGATAGTCTTTCCTCTTTGATTTTATGGAAAATAGTAAATCCTGCACTTTCAATAAACTCATCGCTTGTTCCAGCATACTACGAATCATTTACCCGTATTTTCGTGACCTTTTTAAGATCTTCAAATTGTCTTCTTTTCATTTACGTTTATCGGACCCTTTTAAAAATATCCAGGAAAACAAACTTAAGTAGTTTTGATTAAGAAATTTTTCATTAAAATAATTTCGTTTTAAAACAACATTTTTTTGAAAGGAGTCGTCTATTATTTTCAATATCACTAACTAGTATCAGAAACGTTGTATATATTAGTTCTTTATTTCTACATTTAGTGTTTAGACTGTAACGTGCTGTTCACTTGCATTCATATTGTAAAATACATTTCTAATTGCTACTTTTGCAGTATCTCTTACATCATTAGTCTTTAACTTCGATACAATGTACGATTGTCATGGCATTGCTTCCGTTTTCTGTTTTTATAATAATAACACCGGCACACAAAAAAAAAGTGCTCTGTTCTTTTGACCGGACCCATCTATCTCTATGTATTTTGACCCGCTGAATCCGAATCTGAGGTCAGTTTGGCCAATACACCTCCAAAATTTCGAGAAAACTTTAAAAAACCGAAAAAAATGACGAAAATCGGCAATTTTGGTGATTTTTATGTATTTCGATCCGCTGAATATGAATCTAATGTTTACTTAGACCATAAGCCCTTTAATACATAAGTAAATTCCAAAAAACCCTCGAGCATATTTAGCCCATACATACTTAAAAACGTACGTAAACAGCAAAAAATCTCCAAAAATTTCGAAAAATTGGAGTTTTTATGATGAAAATCAAATTTTAAATACAAACAAAATGTATTTTACATGTTTTTTTGATCTGTAGAGTATAAATTTAAAGTTTATTTGGCCCGGAGCCCTAAAAAGATTTTAGTTAATTGCAAAAAATCTATACAAAATTATAAAAAATAATTCAAAAAATTGATTGTACTTGATTAAGTTATTTTTTTCAAAAAATCTATTCTAAAACTTTTGTCTTCATGATTTCAATCCCTTCTTCGCTTATATCGAATCCGTTTGTCTTCAAATGACCTACGTAAAGGGTTCCTTTTTCGCTTTCTCAAATTAGAAAAAGGAATTCTCAATGGACCTTAAATTTAGATTTCATTCCAGGACTATTACGTATAATTGCTACGCTCGAGATTGAGATTCAGTCGATCAAAATAAATAAAAATCATGAATAATTTCTATTTCTTTCATCATGAAAACTCCAATTTTTCGAAATTTTCGGGGATTTTTTGCTGTTTACGTA